TCTCTCTCTCTCTCTCTCTCTCTCTCTCTCTCTCTCTCTCTCTCTCTCTCTCTCTCTCTCTCTCTCTCTCTCTCTCTCTCTCTCTCTAGCACGAGTGCGTGAACTCATGGGTGTTGTGGATGGATGCACAACTTCAGTGTTAGTTTCTATGCAAGTTTTTGTTCTTTCCGTGCTGCCTCTATTGAGTCCCTGATGCAGGATAGAAAGAAGGGATTTTCTGTTGTGGTTTTTGATAGTTTGGCCATTTCTGAATTTACGTGAGGCCATCCGCCTCCTGTTCCCTTTGCTTTGCCAGTATCTTTGTTCCAAATGTAACAAATGTCCCAAATGATGGAAAGAGGGGAAATTCTTATTTAAAATGGACTACCTTCTTCCGCCTCCCGTTTCCTTTGCTTTGCCAGTATCTTTGTGACTGTGTTGTTATCTTGATGGATGACTGCATCTGGTCCACAAGTCGGACCACGTTCAGATAGGTCAAAAGGTATCTGACATTTTCTGGTGTTTCTGTGTTATGTGGCTGATTGAAAACGAATCCAGCATCGCATTGACACGTTCCCATACACATGTGCAATGACAAGCAGACTTGGAGAGAGAAATGCATACCACACCAGATGAGGTGAATGCTCAGTAGAAGACCACAAAACCAAAAATAGAATTGAAATTAATCAATTCAATTCTAAGTAAACCATCTCTCTCAAGTTCAATCAGCAGTACCAAAGTTCCCAATATCCCAACCACTTTATCAACATCCATGAGTCAAACAAACTATTTAGAGAGTTTCATAAAGTAAGGGAGACTTCTTCTTCTTCCTCCCATCCTCGAGCGCACAGCTATGGCGCAGGGCTGTGCCCAACCTATCAAGTGCACCAATCACCACCAACCCTCCTGAACCCGACACGCCACTCAGCAGCCCAATCCCGACTGCCCACTGCAGATGAAGTGTCTGCTCAACAGGGCAGAGTAGCTCCCCGGACGAAGAAGAAGAACACCAGCGCCTGATGAAGAAGAGGAAGATGGCTGCCGCTTCACACTTGGAAGAAGAGTCTCGACGGTGGCGCTGCCCATCTCCAACAGCACAGGTAAGAGGAGGCGCCCCACAGAAGGGTTGTCACAACATGTGCTAGGTAGCCCCGGCTATGGCTACTAGCCCTCACAGCATGAAGATGGTGCTGTAGGTAACATAACGCAGCACCAAGCAGGGAGTGGCCTTCAGCAGCACTTTGTAGAAAAAAAATTGACGAGACCGAACTCGATTTTCCTTGCCCTCGACCCTTTTGTAGACTGCTGTTTTCCCTCACTTGACAGCCTACAGCCTAGGAACGACAGCCTAAAGCCGAGGACCGAATCTAGACCTAAAATTGCCAAAAGGGAAGGACAGAAAGGACCTACAACTCAAGGGCAGAAAAGGACGAAACAGAGAGGCCTAGTGGTTCTATGATGACTACTCTACAGAGACTCTCACACTCAGACCTGTCGTCTTCACCCGAATAGAACGCCCAGTCATTATAGCTGTATTTTGGGCAACTTCCAGTCCAGAGACAGCGATAATTACTCGGCGTTCTATTCGGGCGAAGATGGTAGGAAGCGAGCCCAGTAAGGTTCACACATACCAAGGAACACACGACCACGGTACAGGTCACGGGGTCAAGTCCCGGAGAGCTCAAAACCAGCCAAAACAGATCGAAGTAGTGTACAGCCCGCATAACACTGTAATTACAAATTTTGACATCTGTCGTTTTAGTTAATGGCTACCATCTTCCCTGGAATAGAGTGTACAATCATTATAGCTGTGTATCTAGACTGAAAGTTGACCCAAGTACAGCCATAATGACATACGTTCTACTCGGGCGAAGACGGTAGATGGTTGCTGAGAGCGTCGTGGTAACTCCATGCATCACCACGAGATAACGGTTTCGCTTCTTTTTTTTTTTCTGCTCCTTTTTTCATTTCTTGTCCTTTTCATCTTTTCTTGTTTTTTTCATTTTTTCTTGTCCTTTTCAGCTTTTGAGAAGAGAGATGATGGCGTCTAAGTTTTCTAAAAATGGTGATAAGATGTGTAAAATTGGAAAGCTGGCAGTGGTGCCTGAAGGTGGCAGTTGCAGACAGCATGCAATTCTGTTTCTGACCATGTTCAGTGTATGTTATGGACTTGGTGTCGATGGCGATGAAGCACAGGGCCTTTCCCAGTTGTTTGAGGTGTATCTGTTTACGGTCTTCAAGGTCTTCGGCCAGAAAGAGCTGTTATTCCCACAGAACAGACTGAACGACGCGAGCACATCAGGCAGTGAGTGTCTCGCACACCCTCCTTGCACTCTCTCTCTCTCTCTCTCTCTCTCTC